GATCAGATATTGCATTGTAAAGGCAAGTGCATTGTAATAATGTTTCCTTTGAATTTCTATTATGTGTGTTTCATAATTCATACTTATATTCATTCTAAAGATAAGAAAGTTATACACACATATCACATACATATGTACCTACAAAAAAGAACACATTACAATATACATCCTTCCCAGGGAATTGGCCAGGGTTTTCCTAAAAATAATGTGACATACCATGTCACAATGAGTCAGAATTCCTGTGTTCATACAATGAACCAACATGAGTTCTATTAGGTGACTAAGATATAAATCCTAAACTTCTTTTGAATAAACATTGGAAAGTGTTTCACCCTCGTCTACTTTATGATAAATTTATCAGATTGAAAAGAATTCAGAAATGGTGTGAGTTTACTGTGGCTATGGATTTGATAATAAATTTAAATAAATTTATTCAGATACCAATGAGTAGATTTTTAAAATTTGTTTAAAAATTTATGAACAGGCCTTATGTTAGTTCCCAAATTACTACATCTAGGAATTTATCCCAGAGAGAATATAATGATGTTACAAAGATAATATCAAGGGTATCCATCACAAGTTTATTTTTCAAAGACATATATTTATTTGAAAGGCAGAGTTATAGAAAGAGAGGACAGACAGAGAGATCTTCCATCTGCTGGTTCACTCTCCAAATAATTGCAACAGCCAGGGCTGGGCCAGGCCAAAGCCAGAGCTAGGAGCTTCTTCCAGGTCTTCTTTCAGATCTCCCACATGGGTGTAGAGGCCCAAGCATTTGGGTCATCTTCTGCTGCTTTCCCAGACACATTATCAGGGAGCTGGATTGGAAATGGAGTAACTGGGGCTTGGACCAGCACCCATGTGGGATGCTGGCGCTGCAGACTGCAGCTTTAACCCACTGAGCCACTGTACTGGCCTCACAGATTTATTTTTAGTAGTAAAAAGTGGGAACAGGGCTGGGTGTTTGACCTTACAGTTACAATGCTGGTTGTGGAGTCAGCACTGTGATGCTGGCATTCTATATGAGCACTAATTCGAGTAAGACTATTCTACTTATGATCCAGCTCCCTGCTAACGTGGCTGGGAAAGCATCACAAGTGCATGGACCTCTGTCACACACATGGGAGACCTGGATGGAGCTCCAGGCTCCTGGCTTCAGTCTGGCCAAGACCTGGCTGTTGCAGGCATTTGGAGTGTGAACCAGTAAATAGAAGATATCCCTCTCTCTCTTTCTGTCTCTCCTTCTCTCTCTGTAACTTTGTCTTTGAAAGAAAGGAGAGAAGAGAGGAGAGGAGGGGAGAGAAGAAGAGGAGAGAGGGGAAGAAGGGAGGAGAGGGGAGGAAAAGAGAAGAGAGTAGATGCTGTTTGTGATTTCCACATCCATATTGGAATATATAGGTTTGATGCCTGCCACTGCTCCTGACCCCACCTTCTTTCTAATGCAGATCATTAGAGGCAGTGGTAATGGTTCAACTTCTGGGGTTCCTGCAACCCACATAGAGACCTACACTGAATTACTAGCTCCTGATCCCACCTTAGCACAGCCCCTGCTGTTGTGGACATTTAGGTAGTGCTTGTTCTCTCTCTTTCCCTCTCTCTCCTTCCCCCTCCCTCCTTCCTCCTCCTTCCCCCTCACTCCCCCTCCCTTCCCCTCACTCTCCCTCACTCTCCTTCCCACTCCCTCTAACCCTCCCTCCTTCTCTTTTCTCTAAATAAACTTATAAAAAAATTAAGTGGAAACAATCTATAAACATCCAGTTAACTATATTTACCTACTGTGCTATATAAAAACACCAGAGCTTATAACTTATTTCTCTTATATAAGTATATTTTTATACCCAGTAATCAACTTCTTTCTATGCATCCTCTAACCAATATCCTTCCCAACCTCTGGTAACCCCTATTATGTTCTCAACTTCTATGAAATAAACTTTTTTAGCACCCACATATTATTGAGACCATGCATGCTTTATTTCTCTTAACCAAATGTCCTCCAATTCCATTCATGTTGCTGTGACAGAATTTTATTATTTTTTATGACAATATTCCATTATGTAGATATATCACATTTTCTTTATCCATGCATCTATCAATGGACAACAGTTTATTAAATATCTAAACTAATGTGAATGTTGCTGTAATAAACATGGTGGATAAGTATCTCTTTGATATCTTGTTTCACTTACTGTGGATATATACATAGCATTGGGATATCTATATCATACAGTAGTTCCCTTGTTAGTTTTTTCAGGAAATTCCATGCTGTTTTTTATAGTGGTTATGCTAAATTATGTGCTTACCAACAGTGTATAGGAACTCCTATTTCTCTGCATCCTCACCAGTGTTTGTGACTTTTTGTGTTTTTGATTATAACTATTCTATGTAGGATGAGGTGATATCACATTCTGGTTTTGATTTACTTCCCCTGATAACTAGTGATACTGAACATTTTTTTCAGGTACTTGGCCATTTGTATATACTCTTGTGAAACATCTAGTTCATTTGCCCATTTTTAAATTGGATTTTTCTAACTTCCATATATGTTTTTATTTATTAGTTTCTTGTCCATTTATAAAGATTTTCTCAACTCAATATCATTTCTTCACTCTGTTGATTGTTGTACAGAAGTTTCTCAGTTTGATATAATCTTATTTATCCATTCTTGCCTGTGCTTGTTGGCTCTTATCCAGAAAAAGTTATTGCTTGTACTAGTATCTTGCAGTGCAGAATGGCTCACATGCAGAAATCTACCGACAACAGATGCTGGCGAGGATGTGGGGGAAAAGGGACACTAACCTGCTGTTGGTGGGAATGCAAACTGGTGAAGCCACTATGGAAGTCAGTCTGGAGATTCCTCAGAAACCTGAATATAACCCTACCATACAACCCAGCTATCCCACTCCTTGGAATTTACCCAAAGGAAATTAAATTGGCAAATAAAAGAGGTGTCTGCACATTAATGTTTATTGCAGCTCAATTCACAATAGCTAAGACCTGGAATCAACCCAAATGCCCAAATAGTAGAGTGGATAAAGAAATTATGGGATATGTACTCTGTAGAATACTATATAGCAGTAAAAAACAATGAAATCCGGTCATTTGCAACAAAATGGAGGAATCTGGAACACATCATGCTGAGTGAAATAAGCCAGTCCCAAAGGGACAAATATCATATGTTCTCCCTGATGGGTGACAACTAACCAAGCACCAAAAAGGAAACCTGTTGAAGTGAAATGGACACTGTGAGAAACAGTGAATTGATCAGCCCTTGTCCTGGCTGTTGATGAACAACTTAATACTTTATCCCTTTTAGTATTTTTTTTTGTTCTACTTAATACTATTGGTTGAACTCTGTAATTAACACACAATTATTCTTAGATGTTTAAATTTAACTGAAAAGTGATCCCTGTTAAATATAAGAGGGGAAATAAGAGAGGGAGGATATGTCCAATTTGGGACATGCTCAATCTGACTTCCCCAAATGGTAGAGTTAGAAACGTGCCAGGGGATTCCAGTTCAGTCACATCAAGGTTGCATGTACCAGTGCCATCTCACTATCAAAGTGATCAATTTCAGTTCACAATTGATCATACTGATAGGATTAAGAGTCAAAGGGATCACATAAACAAGACTAGTGTCTGCTAATACTAACTGATAGAATTAAAAAGGAGAGAACAATCCAACATGGGAAGCGAGATACACAGCAGACTGTAGAATGGCAGATGTCCTAAGCAGCACTCTGGCCTCAGAATCAGCCCTTAAGGCATTCAGATCTGGCTAAAAAGCCCATGAGAGTTTCTCAGGCATGGAAAACCAAGACACTGTGGGGGAAAAAAAAGAAAAAAAAAAACCTAAATGAAAGATCTCTGCGAGTGAGATCCCAGTGGAAAGAACGGGCCACCAAAGAAGGAGGTACCTTTCTCTGAAGGGAGGAGAGAACTTCCACTTTGACTATGACCCTGTCTGAATAAGATCAAAGTCGGTGAACTCAAAAGGCTTCCATAGCCTTGGAAACTCATGACAAGAGCCTGGGGTGATTACTGACATCATAAACAAGAGTGTCAATTGGATAAGTCAACAACAGGAGTCACTGTGTACTTACTTCTCATGTGGGATCTGTCCTTAGTGTGTTGTCCAATGTGAAGTAATGCTATAACTAGTACTGAAACAGTATTTTACACTTTGTGCTTCTGTGTGGATGCAAACTGTTGAAATCTTTACTTAATATGTGCTAAATTGATCTTGTGTATATAAAGAGAATTGAAAATGAATCTTGATGTGAATGGAATGGAAGAGGGAGTGAGAGGTGGGGAGGGTTGCAGGTGGGAAGGAAGTTATGGGGGGGAAAAGCCATTGTAATCCATAAGCTATACTTTGGAAATTTATATTTGTTAAATAAAAGTTAAAAAAAAAAACAAGTATTGAAAAATAAAAAAAATTGTTGAGCGGCAAGTATTTGTCACAGTGGCTAAGCCACTGGTTGGGATGCTCAAATCTTATCAGAGTGCCTAGGTCCAAGTCCTGGCTCTTATTTTGATTCTGGTTTCCTTCTTGAGAGACAGCAGGAGCTGGTTCAGGTAACTGAGTCCCTGCCACTCAAATAGGAAACCTGAATTGTGTTCCTGTCTTCTGAATGCAGCCTGGTCCTCCCCTAGTCATTTTTAGCATTTGGGGAGTGAATGAGCAGATAAGCATTCTTTCTCTATTTCTGCCTTTAAAATAAATAAATATATAAAAATTTTGCCTATTGTTTAGTGAAATTCAGCAGTAAAACCATCTTCTCTATACTTCTTTTTTATTTTGTTTTATTTATTTTATTTTTTTGACAGGCAGAGTTAAACAGTGAGAGATAGGGACAGAGAGAAAGGTCTTCCTTCTGTTGGTTCACGCCCCAGATGGCCGCTACGGCCAGCGCGCTGTGCTGATCCGAAGCCTGGAGCCAGGTGCGACACCGGCCTATACTTCTTTTTAAAACTGTATTTACTTATTTTGTTTGAAAGAGAGAAGAACGACAAACAGGAATTGAGAGAGGTCCCCCAAGTGCTGTTAACTCTCCAAATGCCTGCAGTAGTCAAGATTCCGCCAGGATGAAGATGGGAGTTGGGAATTTGATCTCTCATATGGGTCTCAGGAACCAGCTAGTTGGTCCAAATCATGCTGCCTACAAGAGTGTGCATTAGAAGACGAATCAAATGTGGATCTAGGACTTGAACCCAGGTACCCAATATGGGATGTAAGCATGCTAAACAGTATTGTAACCACTGTGCCAAATATCCTCCCTTAGACTTTTCTTTATCAGGACACATTTTCTTACTGATTCCATTTTGTTACTCACTATTGATCTGTTAGTTTCCTATATCCTTATGGTCCAATTTTTTGATAGGCTACATGTTTCCAGAATTTCTTCAAAGATTTTAAATTTGTTGGCATGTAACTGTGCAAAATGGTCTCTAATCGGTCTTTGTATTTTTATGTTACCAATTGTCATGTCTCTTTTGTATTTTTTATTTTATTTATTGATTCTTCTTTCTTCATTCATCTACCTAAAGATTTGACAACTTTCTATGTTTTTAAAAAGCTACCTCTTAGTTTCATTAATATTTGTATTATTTTCAGTCACTATATAATTCATTTATGATCAGATCTTTATTTATTTATTTATTGCCACTTATTTGAGATTAAGTTTGCTTTTGCTCTTCTAGTTCTCGTTGTCTATTTAGAATTATTCTATGGTACTCTGCTTAATTTATCATTCATATAATGACTTGCTTTTCTAATTTTGTTGAATTTTCTGTCTTTATTCCCTTGTATCTCTTTGAGTTTGGTTGCTTAAAATCATTGTTTTAAAGTATTTGTCAGAGAATTCATCAGAGTTAAGCTTTTCCTTAAAATCTGTTCCTAGAGAACTTTTGTGTGTTCATTTTAGAGGTTTCATATTACCTTCTTTTTCACGCTTCATTTGTTCCCATGTTAATATCTGCACACCTGATGAATCTGTTGTCTTTATTAATTTTAAAGTGTGGCTTTCATTGTAAGATACTGTATCCTGGTGATGTGTTCTGCAGTGTTGGTTGTGTAGGCTATGTTGGCTTTTGTCCCAGGTGGATGCATTATTGTAATTTCTTTGAAGCTTCTTCAGCAGCAATCAATGTTGGCAGTGCCTGCAGGTCTTTCAGTGCCTTAGGTTACAGGAGGTTATGGATTTATCTGTGAGATGGCATGCAACCTCCTTAGGAGAGGCAAGTTGTCTGGCAGCTCTGGGTGTGACACATGTGTTTTCAGATGTATGTCACCTTCAGTTTTGCCAGGATGTGTGGTGGTGGGGCCATTTAGTTACAGGTGATGTATAGGTGACACAACAGAAGAGGCAGGATGCCCATCAGACTCTCATGTCTGTGCAGGGGCAGAAGTGTGTTGGTGGGCACTGATGGGTGTGGCAGTGCACTCCCAGCAGTGAGGGCAGGAAATTTACCAGTGTCTGAGTGCCACATTACTGATTGTGCAGCATCAGTAGCCCAAGCAGGGTGCCTATCTGTGTCTAAGGACTGTGTGGGTGCTTTTTGGGCCCTGGCAAATTAAACAGCTCTGAATGAGCTGCCTAACTACATCCTAGGAATTTAAGTCAGTAAGTGGAACCACCTAGCTGCTTACTAAGGCCCCAGGAAGGTGGACAGTTCCACCTGTTAACTTTCAGGGATGCAGAAAGATGGGCTGGGTTGCTCAGCTGGTTTGCAAACCTTGTGATGGTGGGAATAGTTGCCCACCTGTTTCCCAGAGTTTCTGGGACCAAAACTACTCATTCACGTTGCCTGGTGGCTTTCCAGGTATACCTGGTTTCTAGGGATCCAGATGACCATTGCCTGTGGGTGCAGGAACTCTCTGCTTTGCAGGATCTTGATTTGTTGGGTTCTCAAGGTGGTACTGTGTAGCAGGAATCTGGGTGAGGGGCCACTCTATGTGCTGGGACCTTTGACCAGGGTAATACAGCAGTGTGAGTATTGCAGCAGTCCCTCAAATTGGGCTTGAGCTTTCTTAAGCAGTAAACTCCCATCCGTGGCATTAGTGAGGATTTCTGTGAGCCTCCTGCTTACCCTTTCATTGCCATGTGATGTTCCTTTTGGTTCAGTTGATCTGAAATGGGGGGACAAGATGGTAGGTATTGTGTATGTTGTTCTCTGTTTTGTAAGGCCATCCTACTCTGTGTGCTCTGTGATGTCATTGTCATATCCCCATTGCACTCTAGTGTCATCCCTATACTAGTAGTATAGTATTTGTTTTTCATTTACAGTGAAGGAGGGAATGCTAGGTACCTCTAGTCTGCCATCTTGCTAACACCCCCTTCCAAATTAAAAAACATACAAACAAACAAACAAACAACAACAGAAAACAACCTAAGAGGACTCATTTGGGTCTGGCATTTTGGTGTAGCTGGTTAAGCCACTGCATGCAATGCTAGCATCCCATGTGGGTGCTGATTCATGTCCTGGCTGCCCCACTTCTGATCCAACTCCATGCTCATGGCCTGCGAAAAGATGTGGAAGATGGTCCAAATGTTTGAGCCTCTGAAACCAGGGCTGGCCATGGCGACCCTCTGTCTCTCCCTCTCTCTCGGTAACTCTTTCAAAATAAATAAATAAATAAATAAATCTTTTTAAAAAGAGATGACTCATTTATAGTCTGTGATGATATTCTGCCTGCTGTTCATATTGTCTTTGAGGCTGTTAACCTTTTAATATAAAGAAGCAAGGGAGTGGTAAATGAAACTGAGATGAGTAATCTCCTATCAAGTACCAAACATGTTAAAATAAATGACTTTTCTTGGAAGAAAAATTAAAATTAAATATTCATTAAATTAAATGACTTGTATGTGAGTTTATGTATATCTCAAAAAAGCTTATAAAAGGGAGATGGGAAACTGAAAGACTTAAGAGTATGAAAATAAAGGGAATTTTGGCTTTCAAATTAATTTCTGAATACATACATATAAATGTATATGAATATAAATATACATACACACACACACACACACATATATATATATATAAAAGAAGTCATAGAATTGTCAGTTAGCACTACAGATTGGACAAGAATATAAAGGAAGGAGATAAGGGCACCTCAGTCTGTTCCCGTGGAGTCCTAGACTTCTACCTTTGCCTTCCTGTCTTGAATAATCCTTGTAGCTGTGCTCTCTCCCCTTGCCTCAAACACCTACAACTGTTTTACCTTTTTGTTCCTTTCCTGCAACCCTACAGTGCCAAGCCAATTACCTTACAAGGCATGAATGAGAGAAACAGTGAAGTTCTCTCTTTACTTGGAAGCTCTTCCCTCCTTACTACCAAAGAAACATAAACTTGTCCCACAAGGAGAATCTTGATCTTTTTTGCCAGAAGTCTGAGGATTTACTCATTATCTCAAAATGCCTAACAGGTTCTTACTGCACTGCATTCAGTTACTTTCTCAATCAATCCCTTTTCACCAAATTAAATCCTACAGAGCAATAGCCTTGGTGATGCCCATGGGATTCTTTCTTTGTTGGTTCTCCTATTTAGATGAATGTGTCTCTGATATGCTTATAACGTGGTTTGAGTATATTCCCTAAAGGCTGGAATTGGAGGCTTGATCTAATTGTGGTGGTGTTGATGTCCTGGAATCTTTCAGAGGTGGAGTTTTGTGGGTGGTCCTAAGGTGGATTAGGGGCTTGTTAGTTGCCATATGCATTCTCTTCTCTTCCTTGAACCCCATCATCACTAGTTCCCCATAACTCACATCCATATTTGGTGTTGAGATAAGCTTCCATTATTTCTGCTAAGATCACAGCCACCCAGTCTCTCAGCTGCATCCTCCACCCTAGATAGGCTGATGCCCTCGAGTACAGCTGCATGGAATTCTGTTGCAAAATGGGGGAAAGCAACAACATAGGACAGAATTTGAGGGTTAGTAGTTTCATTACTTATGGCTTCTCCCTCTCCACCATGTGCAGTGGACTCCGTGGGAGACTGGAATACAGTCTGATCAGGATGATGAACACTAAAATCTGCTCAGACTCGTCTTTCCTCTAATAGCAGATATGTGGTGCGATTAAGCCTATCTCATGGACTGCTGTCATTGGCTCCACCCAGACACGGTTTTCTCAGGAATTCAGTGTGATGTAAAACTTGCTGTTTCTGATATCTGCAATGAAGAAACCAAGTCTCTGGTACAAGATATGTCTCAACTGTAATGTGATCACTTAAAAGTAGATCAGCCACTTGCTTCTCCTAAGTGTGTGATGCAAAAAATAAAAAAAAAAAATTATATAATTTGGTGGCTGTCTCAAGCTCCATCTTCATCTTCAGTCACTGGCCCCAACATACGTCCTATATTTTAACCATCTCAGTCTCTTTTTAGTTTCCTTAAGCCTGCCAAGCCTATTGAAATTCCACACTGTGATATAGTCAGATGTCCCTATTTGGAAAAGTTTTCTTAACTTGTTCCCATGATGTACTTCAAGGTATCTCTTAAGGATCAGTATAGACCTCTGACTACAAGGCCTCACTTCCACTGGCTAGGGAGGTATTCTCTCCCTTTCCCAGCCTTATTGATTTTCACCTCATCATTGGAATTTCTCTATCATTCTGCCAGATTTCAGTATGGCTCTCTTACTTATTTTTAGCAATGAGCTCCTAGAAACAGATCGTGCCTTTTTCATAATTTCTGTATTTCTGTTATCCTGATAGAGCTCTGCCTGACAAATCATCAGTTAGAACTTGCTAAGTGGATGAGTAGACAGCTGGATAGGTATGTGTAGGAAAAAAAATCAGTGAATATTTTACGAAATACTTATATTTGAAGTGTATTTATGGGTTAGATGGTTATACAATGCTACATATGATTTCTAGAGAGTCACATAACTTATCCTGGGACATCCTCCTAGGTGTAGTGTACCTAGTACTAGAAGTAAGATTTTTCTGACTTTTAGTCCATTTAGTTTGTTTATGTTTTTGCTATTTAAAATTTGCAGTGGGTTTTTTGTTGTTCAGCTTTGGTTTTGTTTGATTAGTGATAGTGTAGACAGAGCTCAGTGAACATGTTGGGAATTATTAAGGTAAAATGCTTAAATTCTTAAATTATTAATTTACTATTGTCCATATTAGCTGCCCTAATAATTGAAATCATAGTCTGTTACCATCCCATAGTAAATGCTTAAATAGTTTGTTTGACATGCAATAGTTATGTTACTATATCTAACATATATGTTACATGCAATATGTTACTATATCTAACATATATGGTCATGGGAGTTGCATAGTTATTGCACTGAACCTAGATACATCTTTTTTTAAAGATTTGTTTATTTGAAATGCAGAATTTCAGAGAGGCAGAGGCAGAGAGAGGAAAAAACAGAGAGAGATGGGGAGAGAGAGAAAGAGAGAGATCTTCCATCTGCTGGTTCACTCCCCAAATGGCCATAATGGCTGGAGCTGGGCTGATCCAAAGCCAAGAGCTGGGAGCTAGGAGCTTCTTTCGGTCTCCCATATGGATGGAGGCCCAAGGATTTGAACCATCTCCTCCTGCTTTCCCAGGCAATAGCAGAGATTTTGATTGGAAGTGGAGCAGCAGGGACTTGAACTGGCGCCCATATGGGATGCCAACACTGTAGGTGTAAGTTTTACCTACAACACCACAGTGCTGGCCCCATAGATACCTCTTTAAAGCAACAGAAAAATTAAAATAATAAGCGTGACAAGTAGTATGTTAAATAGTGCAGATTTTTTTAAACCTTACATTTCACTTAATTAGATCATGCTTGAGATTGAATATGAAATAGGAAATATGAACGTATGCATCCTTCACCATCTCAGTTTATGGATGTCCCCTAGAAATCAAGTACAATGCTTCACTGTGTATGAATCTAGAATTCAAAGACATTATTTATTTTTCATTCAGCACAGCCCCTAACCCTGAGCCATACAATTTCTGGCACTCACCAGAGAAACTGATCTGATCAAATGCTAGAGACAAAATTGGCCATGCTGAATTCATTGAGAGGAACTATGTTTTCCAAATTAGTACCTTCAAGAGCCATTTTTATAAATGTTGATACTTCTCATCCGTTGGGTATGATTCTATGCTATATGGAGAAATAATATTCTTTCACATATTATGATATACATCACATATTAAACATGCTGCATATCATATAGTAGGTAATATGACACATTTTATGTTGAGAAATTATTTGTTTGGCCTCCTGGTCAATAATGGTGAGTTGAATATTATGGAACCTACCATATTGCATCTGTACTGAACTCAAACATTAGAGTAAAATATATTTTTAAATTAATAAACATTGTTCTAGAAATCAAGAAAGAGAAATCTCTACAAACTAGAATAAGATATCCCCCTAAAGAAAAAAAAAAAGTAAAACAAAGGAATGGAGAACAAATGAGTTTCACAACACTCTGAAGCTGTAAAGTCAGTCCACAGGCAGGAGAGTGATGAGATTTAGGCACATATTTAGAAATACTTGCTGGCATCTTTGTGTCTACACATGTTGCACAGATTATATAAAGCTGGGTACCAGGAAAGGTACCACCTACTTCCTGTATTGTCTTGGCAATGCCCAGAAAAATAAACCTCCTCCCCATAGAGCTTGTGCCTCCTGCAGTACAGTGTGCAAAATCTTGGGAGGCTGAAATTGCATCATAGAAGGACTAAGTCTGGAAATGCATCCGTGAAGAGTAGTAGACCCCAGTGAAAAGCCTGTACTGTAACCAGACCATCAGCAGAGGCTAAACTGAGGCTACGAAAAGTTTACTGAAAGTGAACAAGAGGAACCATAACTGTATAGGCACTTAGAAGGACAAGCAACAAATTTAGCAAACAGAAAAGCTGACAGAGAGTAAAACAGGCATACTAACAAGAGGAACTTTAACATATGTCTTTATGTCATTTACAAAATTAAGTAAAGGGAGGAGAGAACTTCCACTTTGACTATGGCCTTGTCTAGATAAGATCGGAGTTGGCAAACTTAAGAGGCTTCCATAGCCTTGGCAGCTTATGACAAGAGCCTAGGGTGATTACTGACATCATAAATAAGAGTGTCAATCGTTAAATCAACAACAGGAGTAACTGTGAACTTACTCCCCATGTAGCATGTCTGTCCTTAATGTGTTGTACTAGGTGAATTAACAGTATAACTAGTACTCAAACAGTACTTCACACTTTGTCCTTCTGTGTGGGTGCAAACTGTTGAAATCTTTACTTAATATATACTAAATTGATCTTCTGTATATAAAGATAATTGAAAATGAATTTTGATGTGAATGGAATGAGAGAGGGAGTGGGAGATGGGATTTTTTTGTGGGTGGGAGGGAGGTTTTGGGAAAAGCCACTATAACCCAAAAGTTGTACTTTGGAAATTTATATTTATTAAATAAAAGTTAAAAAAAATTAAGTAAAGGCCACAGCCATGAGAGAAAAATGGAAGTTTATAAAACAAGTATATGGGATTAAACAAGAAGTTCAGAATAATTATGAAAAAAGAATTAGAAACATTGGAAATGAAAAATATAATTAATGAAATTAAAACATAAAATTTTAAAATGAGAATGAATAGCAGGTTGAAGACAACAACAACATAAAGAACAAACTGAACTCATCCTAGAATTCACCACAAAGAGAAAGATCTGAAACATGGGTTTGCATATGGAAGATAAAGTAGGAAGCTCCAACACAGGAGATAAGGAGAGAGAAAAAGACAGCATGTTTATTCTACTGGTTCACCCTCCCAAATGGCCACAACACCTAGTGCTGGGCCAAGCTGAAGCCAGGATCCTTGAACTCCATCCTGGTCTCCCATATGGGTGGCAGAGACCCAAGTACTTGGGCCATCTTCTGTTTCTTTCCCAAATGTTTAGCAGCAAGCTAAATCGGATGCAGAGCAGCCAGGACTTGAACTAATACTCCAATATGAGTTGGTAGCATCACAAGTGGCAGCTTAACTTGCTGCCAGAATCTGATTTCTTACTAGTTTTGAATGCCATAAAATAATGGAAAATATTT